CATCCTTTGCCAAATGATAAGCACACACTACTATATCGTGATTTTATTTTCTGTTCGATTAGTGTTCATTACAAAACTGTGGGGGGACAGATTATATTATGACCGTTCATCATTGTAAAATAGACATTTGATCTGGAGTGCAATAAAGAAGAAAAAATAATCAGTTTAAAAAGGCTATTATTCACCTCCTGTATGTGCTTTAAGTCTTCGACTTAGACCGCATTTTAATCCTTGTAAATTACAGTTGATTCATGTGACATATCCACTCCTGTATATCCTTTGCAATATCATCAGACGATCTCTTGTCGGTGGAAAGACTGTAAGGCCGCGCGATGCGTGATATCACAACAGATGGCGGTAATGAACAAATTTAGTTTGTGATCTCGTCAGAAGAAGACGTTGCACTGTTTCAGTGCATTACAGGCTCGCGACTCGTCAGAACGCAAAACGGAATGTAGCGTTTGGTCGCGCTACATCGCTACTTGCTGGAAAAAGTAGTTAGCTACAGGAAAAGCTACACTGTTTTAAAAGTAGCGTCGCTACTGTAAAGCTACTGAAAAATGTAGTTAAGCTAGTAGCGTCGCTACTTGTAGCTAGCTACTCCCCAACACTGATAATCACATTAAAAACAAGCCCCCCGTTTGACGAGTTTTGTTGACCTCTCACAGAATTTCTAATTCTGTAAAAAGTCACATGACACATAAGCATCAGTTCAAATTACATAATTACTCATATATCTCGCAATCACTAGTAAAAATTTATAAAATAGTAATTAACAGTCAACCAGGCAGCTAATTTTACAGATATGAAGCAGACATTAACTAGTTTGAACAGAATAACGTGCAGTGGTCAAAATGCTTTGAGTTCTTTACATGGGTTAGAAGTTCCACAAAACAGCATGCAACAAACAAAGTCCATAAAATGTAACGATTATTAGGACTAGTGAGCCAAAAAATCTGAAAATGAGACTTAAATTAAAAGCTTTTACCTTGATTTTACCGAAGTAGACCCACTCTGCAAACATAACGTTGAATCCTGAGTCCGTGTGCTTCTGTGCTGTGTGGGGGAGGGGAAACTGACCTCCAGTACGCATGCGTAACAGCATGTCTTGAACATTTTGAGTACTTAAATTATGTTCGTTATGGGAACTATCTAATATTTTAGCAACAATTTAGAATTTGTAGTAAACTCAACATTTTGGTTAAAATCAAGTAAACATACTAGTATTTTTATAGTAAGGAATACTATTTGATTTTAATTGTGTACTTTCATAGCTCAAGTGGCTTAGAGGAAAAGTTCACCCAAAAACAAATATTCTGTCATCATTTACTCGCCCTCATGTCATTCCAAACCTATATGACTTACTTGTTTCTGTGGAACATAAAAGGAGAAATTCTGTACAGGTTGAACTTTTCCATGCACTTACAATGAATGGAGACTGACATAAAAGCACCATAAAAAAATGGCTCATCTGACCGGTGTAGTATTTCCCAAGTCTATTGAAGCCATACAATATCTTGCCATGAACAGACCAAAATGTAAGTAATATTATTCACTGTTACTTTCCAGCAAGCTGTTAACCACTTTAAATGGATCAGAGAGAGAACAAATAATTTTGAAGTTAAAATCGTCTTGATGGATTTGTTCATTAAAAACAATTAGCTTTTTACTTCACAAGACATTAATTGATGGACTGGAGTCATGTGAATTACTTATGGATTATTGTGAGGTTTTCATCAGCTGTTTGGACTCTCATTCTGACGGCACCCATTCACTGCAGATCCACTGGAAATTGTAAAATAGGTAAAATAGACATTTGATCTGGAGTGCAATAAAGAAGAAAAAATAATCAGTTTAAAAAGGACCTCCTGTACGCTGCACTGTTTCAGTGCATTACAGGCTCGCGACTCGTCAGAACGCAAAACGGAATGTAGCGTTTGGTCGCGCTACACCGCTACTTGCTGGAAAAAGTAGCTAGCTACAGGAAAAGCTACACTGTTTTAAAAGTAGCGTCGCTACTGAAAAATGTAGTTACGCTAGTAGCGTCACTACATGTAGCTAGCTACTTCTCAACACTGATCATACATCACTGTTAACTGCAAATTTCAGAGCTGCAAACACGTGCACGTGCCTTCTCACTCACACACACACACACACAAACAGATCTCTCATGTCTCAGGTAGATACATGAAGAAACATTAACTGAGAAACGTATATCTAGACATTCATATCTTTCTTTTTATGTTTCAACATAGATTTCAAACATTATTCTATTTTATTCTTAGTGCAATCTCATTGACACACTAGATATAGAAACAGAGCTCAAGAACAAACATAGAGCAGGTCACACAGTCAAGAGTTCATTGTTCAAACCAAACTGATATGAAACTGTCTCAAATGCCTTGTTCACACATACCGCTGGAGGTCACAAGGTCACTGTACTGTTAGTTGGTCATTAACTGGTCATAGCTTGTCAACAGTCTGATCACAAAAGAGATATATTGCAATTTGAAATAGGATGTCATTGTATTTTGACAAGAAATTTTGCCATCACAGGAATAAATTACATTTTAAATATATTAAAATACTGTTATTTAACGTTAATGTTATTTATTTATTTAAAAATGTTAATGTTATTTATTTAAAAAAAAAAATTTAATGCAGTAATATTACACTATATTATCCTTTTTACTGTACTTTTGATCAAAATATTGCAGCCTTGGTGAGCAAAAGAGACTTCTTTCAAAAACATTTGGAAATTTTACTGACCCCATACTTTTGAATGGTGTGTGCATTTTGATGCTGTTCTGCACAAATGCACATGCATTGTTATCATAGAAAGGCATGCAGTGAGAGATCGGAATGAGATAGCAGGAATGATAGTGCAAAGTGTTTTTAAAGTGTCTTTTTTTTTTGGAGAGTATTTTTAATATTCATTAATTTATTATTACCATGATACATTTACCATTACCAAGGTCTGAAATAAGCATCATCATTTTAACACACATGCACACAACATAATTTATTTTTGATGACTTTCTCAAATATCGTTTTTCAGTGATTCATCAGGCACATGTGATGCTGGTCAAACCACAGCGCACTAACACTCACAAACCATAAATACACAGACAAGCTGTGGTTAATAATGTACTTTTAAATGGCGCAGATTAAAACCTAAGGCTGAAAAGATGACTGATAAAAGTTAATACAGTGTGAGTTCTTGTGTATGTTGTGTCTCAAATCTTAAACCTCCCTTTGATGTTTATCACAAATGTGGTCATGAACGACTTTTTAAAAATTATTATTTAAACATTTTTTTGTCCATTTTAAAGTTTTGTTTTTTTTTTCATAAAGAAATTAATACATTCACATGAGATGAAGCTCTTGTTTTTCTGCATGCAAAAGCATGGT